ATAAAATTAAAATAATTGATTTTCGAATTAAAATATCAACTAATAATTTTATATATATAAAAGTGTAATATTTTGGAAGCGTAAATAGTGGATATTTACACTTTCAAAAATACATTAGCATTTTCAATTTTACATAGCTGATATTGTAACATTCAATTTTTATATATTAATTATTGTAAAACAAATGATATATAGATACATCTCTTTTTTTACATAAAATACACGAACAAGAATTATATTATAAATATATATATAGTTTCTTTATAATATACTTTTTTGGAATTAACGAAAATTTCCTTTTAATTGTTAAAGATTTTTCATTATTAAATCAATTTATAATCTAAACAATTATTATATTAAATAAGTATCAATTTGATATGCAAATATAAGCCAAATACTTTGTTGTTAGAGCAAATACATATATGTATATACAAAGTATTTTGCCAATATCTCATGATTGCTTAATGGTATATTTGGCCAATTTGAATCCGATCAATAAAAATGTCGAAAAAAGTTTTATCCGTTTTTCGTAATTCTTTTACACGTAACATTACATATCTTTATAATTAAATCTTAAATTCAAGTTTTGAAAATATAAAGTGTAATTAAGTGAAGAATATGATTTTGTTATCTATTTGTAATGCATTTCTGAAACATTATTTTTATGGAAAGATTTTTAAATTTTCAATTATTAATCACTTAAAAATTATTGGTGTCTGCACATTTACATAGAATTGCAAGAAAAAAAATGATTCCAAATTGTTCAAAGAATATAGATTATATGTAGTTTGTATGACAATTACTGAGACATGCTGTACATTCCAGTTTAAACGCTTAAAATAATTCAGATTTATATAGACTATGCATAGATACGACAGATTTAATTCGTATTTAACTGTCAAAAAATTTTAACATTTGTTGAATATAATAATTGTGTATATTATAAATCAATTTAATAATAAAAAATTATGCACATATACATTTATTCAGATCTTTTGATCACCAAGATAGATTTTCTTTTTTTTTATATTATTATATTGTACTACCCGTGTTCAGTCTTAGTCAATGAAAATTAAACAAAAGTAAAAATCAGAAAGGGATACTTTAAAATCAAGTAGGAACTAGAAGTAGGACAATATCTAATCGATTTGGATCCCATAAATTAGTAATTGTTTTCACGGTTATTCACGTAATATGATTTAACTGTAATTCCATCAAAGTAGTTATTATGATTAACTTTATAGTTCTTACATGTTGGAACAGTTTAATAAATCTTTTTTGTTGTAGTGCTATAACGAAGAATATCATATATTAGTATCGTAATTGCTATAGTCACAGAAACGTTCCTCTCTATACACATTTTTGCGCGTTTAAAAGTTAATTAGGACTTATATTAGTTATTTTACAATTATACGAGGAATGTATAGAAAATTATAGATCCCGAGTTTAGTAACTGATCTTTAAATACAAATTTTATGATACGAATCGCGAATGTATTATCGCCGCGTTTGAAAATTTTATATTTTATAACACACTTCGTAACTTATATATATATAAAATAATCTAATCTTGATTTAAGCGTATGCACAGCGCGATTCATATCGTGCTCGTCACTCTATAAACATAAATATTCTTTTTTCATATTAAACTATTTGTGATACCTCAGTTGAAGCACCTGTTTAAAAAAATGCACTCCATTTTTATCCTCTTGAGCTTTGCAATTGATATTAATTGTCAACGATTTGTCATGGCAGTAGTAAATGGCAGCTTGTTAAACGAGTTTCAACTCGTCTGAATATTGAGATAAAGATGAGAGCGCCGGTTCACAGATTGACCGTTGAGATTCGGTAGGAATTAATGGTTTATAGTGCAATACACACACACACACACACACACACACACACTTATGTACATCTGTGTCAAGTGATATTCTCATAGGCAATAATAAATCTTTCAAAAAGAGGGGGGGGGGGAAGAACGTCCTCGCGGACAGGGGGATTGTCCATGTATTTCTTTCTCCCTCTTGACAACGCGCGACCTTGAGAAAATTGTACAAACACGATCGACCTTTCCAACGGCGCATCTCGGCGGTCCATTGCGTGAAATCGAATATAAGAAGCGATGCGAATAAATTACGTAAACGCGTGGATCGTGTCGCGCGGTATCTTGCGGTTTCTGTTCCGCTATGGCAAAAATTATTCGCAGTTAGGTTCGCAAAAAAAAAAAAAAAAAAAAAAAAGGGAAAAGAATATTATAAAATAATATCCATTCAATCGCTCGAAGTCGATGGTTTACCGTCTAACGTCTGCTCAAAAAGGTAAAGTGCTCTATGAAGAAATTCATATTGTTCAGCTGTTTGTACCATCCCTCCTCTGTCGTATCTAAAACATTAAAGATATTCATGCATTCATAAAATCCATAAAGTATTTTGTATATCTAAAGCTTATTGCCTTACCTCATTTGGCATAGAATACCCAATACGTCGACATTTCCATCTCTCACGAGTTGAATCATTCCTATCGCTAACGCTATAAAACAGCCGGTTCGTCCGATACCCGCACTGCAGTGAACGACCGTTGGCCCTGGTAAAGAGTTTACTTCCGCAGCCATGCTAACGAGCGCATCTGCAGTTTGAGGTACGGCATGGTCTGGCCATGAATCGTACCTATTGATATATTTTAAAGTTTAATATATATATACATATATATATAGTTTTTGGTTCTTATTATGATACTTCTCATTGCAATAATCATAATAGTTTCCGCTTAAATATTGCCTGATCGACTATTACTAGTGACATATGAAAATGAATTTATCTTCCAAAAATTATTCCATAACTATGCCGGCAATTCGTCGAAGGCGAGGCGAGTAGTGGGCTGTCAGATGAACATGAAGATAAGCTCAAGGCTTGTCCGAATTCGTTGGAAAGATAGAAACCGAGAAGTTAAACGATTTAAGCGAAAACTAGAGTATTTGGAAATAAATAATCTGGTAATAATAATTATACCAGTAATGCTGCAAATGCCTCCTTTCTCCTTCATGCCTGATTTCCATAGTTCTGATGGTATATCCGTTCTTCATATCGACATAGTTGACAATAATGGTGAAAGATCCAGCTTGTATACGGTTGTTTACGTCAAAGGGAAAATATGCGTCACACTTGGCTTTAGACGCTTCATGCAATCTAGTTATCATGACAATTACAGGAACTTTTTCTGCCCAGATCATTCTCCAAAAATCCGCTATCGTGTGAGCTAATGGTCCCTGTGTCGCGATGTATCTACCGTCCTCGCCGTCGTAACCCTACAATTTGTTCGATCTATTATAGCCTTTAATTCGCGCAATCTAATACATATAATTTTATTATTTTACATACACGAATGTAGTTGGCATTTATGTAGCCGGCAAGAGGATCGTCGGAGAAACCTGGTAGAATCACTCTTGATTGCGGATTGGGCAAAACGGAGCAATATCGATTCTTCACTCCTGAACCGCAAACGTCCACTTTCTCCGGGAGATTTAATGGTACCTCCCAAAATTCTTTGTACAATGTTGATGGATCATTAACGGCTTTTTTCAGTTGAGTTCTCGACAATACATTTCCCGCGCTTAGTAAAAATTCTTCCGCCGTACATTCTCGAGTGGGAGTAACCATATGTGGTGGACTTTCAGGAGCTGTTGCTAATTCTATGGTTAAACTTGTGCTCGATCCACGTCGTTCCAACAATCCCTTCGCTTTTATACGTATCGCTTCCGGTCTACGTTCAGGTGTTGCGACGGACATCACCTGTTAATGGAAAAAGACATAGAGGGAATATTCTTATCGCAATAATTTGATAGATATTTAGATTATATATCAGTAGATTTCTTACCTCTGGTAAACCTAATGCTTGAACTGGTTGTAGTGATTGCGTGGATGTAGATTGCTTTGCAAATACTTCATGAACCCATTTGGCTTCCACAGATCCTTTTGTGTCTTTACTAAACTTATCTGACTGGCAAATGGCACCTTCCTCTACTAAATCGTGCCGATCGCCATCTTCAGTATCTTTTTCACGCGACATTTGTTTCCGCAGCCATAACAAGATCTATTATAAAAGTGCTTCTTATTATATGATTATGAACAATTCAATATTGTAAGTAAATCAAATCTCACAGATCCTTATGAGCTTTTAAAATAATTACTTATTTTTGAAAAAGAAAATAGATCTCTTCTATATGTTTGTTTCTTTGTGTAATATACAAAGAAGTATATGTAATAAATAAATATATGCTTACTAGAAATGTAAAAAGAATAGTGCCAGTGATGACAAAAAGTGTCACAAAGAAAGGCAATTGCCAATCTAGCCATGATAGAGCGGTCCTGGAATGTATCCCCTTGTCTGTTTGACTGCTGAGTTGAGCCACTTGGAGATCCATTCCAGCATCATCCAGTCCAGTCATGGACTGCCGGATCCTGCATTTAAAATACTTTAAGATAAATAACGTAAATGCATCTTAATATATATCATAAAATATTACCCAAATAGAATTTTATCCTTGATATATCATGATTTCTGTGATAAATTACCTGTGATGAGATCTCGCAGGCATTCCCTTTGTAAATGGCAATAAGGAAATTGGCACTACTGTATCCTTATGCCACTTCTGTTCACTGATTAAATAAAATTTCTCTATAGGATTTATATTACCACTATTGTTAATTGTTGTATCATAATAATTTACATCATTCGTGTAATGATGAGTCAAGGAAATACTTGTACCATCTGTAATAAAAATAATAATAAATGTTATTATTATTGTATATGTGTAATGACACACACACACACACACACGCACGCACGCGCACAAACACACACACAGAGAATATACATTGTAAAGTAGAAATTTTACAACATATACTAGAAGTATTAAAGCATTGTAAATAATATTTGCAAAATTTTATAATACACACAAGGTCTTTGTAACTTTGTGCGAAATGGCAAGAATTGACATATATATTTCCGACAGTTTTTAATCTCCTGAAGAAAAAAGTTGCATAAGCACATTTTCGTGATTCAGCAAGATGTAAGAAAAAAGATGTCTCATTCTATCATCGAGCAATAAACAACTAGTTACATTTAATCTGAGAACGAGACCGGAAGAAAATCATCAGTAGAAGACACGGATATAGGTAAATTTAATGGATATCAATAGATATATGAAAACGAGGATAGGAAAACATAAGATAGATGCAGTCGTTGATTGTCATTTGTCAGCCATGATCAGCAGTACACATATACATACGTGCATATATATATATATATATATATATATATATATATATATATATATATATATATATATATATATATATATATATATATATATATATATATATATATATATATATATATATATATATATATATATATATATATATATATATATATATATATATATATATATATATATATATATATATATATATATATATATATATATATATATATATATATATATATATATATATATATATATATATATATATATATACATGACACGCATATACTAAATAGCACTACATATCGAAAATTCGGGGCATCGGAAATAAATCCACATCCTGTTTTCTAGTTGTTGCAATAGCAGAATAAGCGCAAATGTGTGTATGTGTGTGCGCGCGCGGTGTGTGTGTGTGTATGTGTGTGTGGGTGAGCGCGCGCGTCAGAGAAAGAGAGAGAGAGAGAGGGGATTATTTCCGCACTTGTTTGATCGATACCTTTTGTCAACAGCATATATGCCAATATCGCGAGTACCGTATGATTGATGTGTGATCCACGAGTTTGGTGAGTAGTCGGAAGTGGCCACCGCGTGTACGATGATACGGCCATATTGCGATAGAATCGAAATCGAATGCTCGTAACGCTCGCGCAAACTCCTTGGGAAAACTGCCTAAAGAGACATTCGCGTCTCGCTCCTCTCCTCATGCGCCTTGACCTGGGTTTTGGTTCTATTCATAGTGTTGGCAACCGGCTCCGCGCTCTTCCACTCTGTCGCGTGTAGTACGCGGGAGTAAGCGTGCGACCAATAAGGATCGCGGTGGCGTCGCCGGCCCATTGGCGCCGACCAATCGCGACGCGCTATTCAACAGAGGAGGGGAGGGAGGGAAAAGTCAGCGTGAATGAAAGCGTAGCACGCAGCACGTGCGATTAATACGACGGCATCAATCGCGGATCTACATTTCATATTTATCCGATAGATACGCCAAGTAAATGCAGCGAGAACTATTTTGTTCTCCGGTAACAATGGATTCTCTCTGCACGAACGCTATATATATATATGCGCCACCGATATAATGTAAAGAAATGAGAAGTCATTGTCTCGTATCTCTTTGAATTAGCGTCATTGCCGACATTGCCGTCATTGCCGTCATTGTCGTCATTGCCGTCATTGCCGAATGAATTAAATCCCTTCCCAGCTTGCAATAATGCAGGATAATTCATATTTCAATTTTTCCAGATTATCTCCAAAATTATACTCATTCAAGAAAATATTTTAGATCAAGATTTTTTTTTTTCTATTTCGAAAAGTAGATATATGTATATAGATAATAAGAAGATTTTAATTTATTGCCTTTTATTAATTCCATGCCCTACAACTTTTATTTCATGATATTTTTTGATAAACTTAATAATTTTAGTGTTGTTCCCAGTTTTTTAGTAAAAATTTTCTTGTTTCTTTTTTTGCGATTTTCTTCAAAACGGAGCAAAAACGAGCATGTTTTCAAAAGATTTTTTTCTTAAGAGATAGATATGTATATACAAATAGACATGTTTTTTTATTTCTTTTTTATTTCTTTAAGTTTCAGGAATAAATCTTTATTTATAGAATAAAGTTATATAAGAATAATGTCTCGAAAAGAAATTTATTTATTTCTTAAAAAAAGCTCTCTCTCTCTCCCCCCTCTCCTCCTCTCCCCCTCTCCCTCTCTCTCCCTACCTTCCTACCTCTCCCCTCTCCCTCCCCCCTCTGTGTGTGTGTGTGTGTGTGTGTGTGTGTGTGTGTTCGTGTGCATGCGCGTGTGCGTGTGCGTGTGCGTGTGCGTGTGCGTGTGCGTGTGCGTGTGCGTGTGCGTGTGCGTGTGCGTGTGCGTGTGCGTGTGCGTGTGCGTGTGCGTGTGCGTGTGCGTGTGCGTGTGCGTGTGCGTGTGCGTGTGCGTGTGCGTGTGCGTGTGCGTGTGCGTGTGCGTGTGCGTGTGCGTGTGCGTGTGTGTGTGTATGTATAATTTTGATGTAATTTTTCTTTAAACAATTGGTTTTAAAGATAATCGCGTTGAAGATAATCGCGTTAAAGATAATCGCGTATGAGTCATATTACATATGAGAGCTTTTCCAAGATTTGATCAAACTTTCTCGTGATTCGTTGAAAGAGAAAATATTAATAAGTTTTGTAAAAAAGAGAGAGTGAGAGAGAGAGAGAGAGAAATTACTGTAAAATAAAATAATAATATTATACAACATAAAATAGAGTATATTATCGTATTAAATCATTGAGTCAAAATTTTTTATATCCAAAAAATATTAAATTTTTTCTTAAAATCCCGTAAAAAAGTTCATAATATATCTATATATATTTTCTTTCTCTTATATACAGGGTGTCCCAGAATTCGCGGACACGGAATGCACAGCGTGATTGTCCGTGCTAAAAGAAACAACTTTTTTCTTTGGCAAAATTGCGTCTGAACAATACTTTTTAAATGAGAGCAACTTTAAACTAACGAATGAGCGCTCTAAGTTACACATGAATCAGGGACGGCGCGCGCACGGCGTGCGTGAGCGTTTGTCTACTTTATTTTACTATTTCGCTAAAGATTTTATAAGAACTATGCATAATATCTAAATATTGTAGGCGGGAAAGACATTATCTCGAAAGAAGATTTGAAAAAACAGTTTCATTTTGCAATAGCAACATAAAAAAATTAGACATTATTAAACATTTAATCGGAAAGATTTTTTTCTTAATGTTAGTTTATCAATCCTCCACACGCTTCCGAAGTTTTGACATTTAATTTCGGAACGCTTTGTAGATTTTTTCTAGGTAGAACTGTATGTTTATGAGATTAGAAAGTCATCGCGTTATTTATTTATTTTTTCAGAAATCATCTGTTTTTCTTTTAGAGTTATAAAATTGTCATATATTCTAGCTACTTGTTTGAAATTTGTAATCTCTTGAATGACACATACACTTACATATTATAAATTGTGACTCAATTTGCCTGTATATATAAGACTATAAATTTCTAAAAAAATATATTATTTAAATATATATCTCTCAGATTTTACTTATATAATTATATTATATTATGTAATAATTTTGATGTAATTTTTCTTTAAACAATTGGTTTTAAAGATAATCGCGTTGAAGATAATCGCGTTAAAGATAATCGCGTATGAGTCATATTACATATGAGAGCTTTTCCAAGATTTGATCAAACTTTCTCGTGATTCGTTGAAAGAGAAAATATTAATAAGTTTTGTAAAAAAGAGAGAGTGAGAGAGAGAGAGAGAGAAATTACTGTAAAATAAAATAATAATATTATACAACATAAAATAGAGTATATTATCGTATTAAATCATTGAGTCAAAATTTTTTATATCCAAAAAATATTAAATTTTTTCTTAAAATCCCGTAAAAAAGTTCATAATATATCTATATATATTTTCTTTCTCTTATATACAGGGTGTCCCAGAATTCGCGGACACGGAATGCACAGCGTGATTGTCCGTGCTAAAAGAAACAACTTTTTTCTTTGGCAAAATTGCGTCTGAACAATACTTTTTAAATGAGAGCAACTTTAAACTAACGAATGAGCGCTCTAGGTTACACATGAATTAGGGGCGGCGCGCGCACGGCATGCGTGAGCGCGTGTCTACGCTATTTTACTATTTCGCTAAAGATTTTATAAGAACTATGCATAATATCTAAATATTATAGACGGGCGAGACATTATCTCGAAAGAAGATTTGAAAGAACAGCTTCATTTTGCAATAGCAACATAAAAAAATTAGACATTATTAAACATTTAATCGGCTCTTTTCAGAGCCACAAACATTTTTAGAATGTTGGAACAATAATATTGGATCAAAATTATTCATGTGTTATCTAATCTACTTGTTTTACTTTCAGTCGTTGCTTTGGTGATATCAATTAGAAAATGTTCTTTTATGAAGCGTTTTATTCAAAATAGCGATATTTAGATATCATGCACGGTTCTTATAAAATTTTTAGCGAAATAGTAAAATAGCGTACAACACACACGCTTACGTGCTGTCCGCGTGCCGCCCCTGATTCATGCGTAACCTAGAGCGCTCATTCGTTATCTTAAAGTTGCTCTCATTTAAAAAGTATTGTTTAGACGCAATTTTGCCAGCGAAAAAAGTTGTTTCTTTTGGCACGAATAATCACGCAGTGCATTCCGTGTCCGCGAATTCTGGGACACTCTGTATAATCTCTATCCGCATGTGCAGGGAAAATAATAAGAAAAGAATAATAAGAAGAATAATTGAAAAATAATTAGAACAATTTTCACATTTTTTTTCAAGAAAGTGGAATTTGAAGAAGTGTGAAAAAATTGCGCATATATAATTACACATGTAATGAATTAATATACAAATTATACATATATATCGACAATGTTGTTTCACTTCTTCAAATTTTTTATTTTTTCTAAAGTAATACCAGAATTATTTTTCCAGTTATTTTTCAATTATTCCTTTTATTATTTTTTCTGTATGTACGGACAGAGATTATACGAGAAAAAGAAAACATATGAATATATTTTTATATATAATTATATTTATTTATATTTGATTATAATATATTTCATTATAATGTAAGATTCAAAACTATATTTCGGCATTAATTTTGTCATTGATCTCAAGCATACAAATAGCTGCGACATTTATGAATATCTTCACAGGCATGTTCTGCGTCTATATAATTCTCAAGAATATACCGATGATTCATGAAACCGGATATATACGTGTATCCCGTTCACGGTCGCTTAAACATCACATTCATTTCGCTACAAATCACACTATTTGTGTTTCACTTTTATATCTTTTTCTATTATACATTTTTAGCTCTATGTTGTGGTGCTTCTAATGGAATTATAAACAAAGTAATAAAGAATTTTAGCAATCTCTCAGTGATTGATATTTCGGTAACGATTCGGTTACACACCTTCATTTGATAGTAAAAACTCGCTATCATATTGTTACACTTATTTTAGCGGTGGTTACAATGCAACAATGGCAACCGGTGATCATTGTGTAGTAGCTGAAAAATCAATAATTCAGCCGGAACTGAATGTTCAATTGTGCAAGTATCTAAATTTTATACTAATGTTAAAAATAACGTGGATAAATGAACTCGTCGCTTGGAGATAAAAAAAGCATGTCATACTTGTTGAAAAATGTAATCGAACTATTTAAAAGATTTAAATATCTCTGTCTATATGTGTGTTTTATAACAAAGCTAAAATGAAAAAGATTAAAGAAAAAATTATATATAAATTACTTTATTTGAAACTCACTCGTGTATATGTGTGCGATTCTTTTTGTATAACATTCAATCTTTCCGGCAACGTGTTCCAAAACGATAAAAAAGCCTGTACGAATGTTAAACTCTCTCTATCGTTTGTCTCTCTCTCTCTCTCTCTCTCTCTCTCTCTCTTTCTCTCTTTTTTCATGTGTGTGCATATTTTTCTTTTCTGTCATTTTCCTTTAATAACCACGTAAAATTTCTTGAAAATAAAAATTTTTTCTGTGTCAATAAGTTTCGATATCTCAACAATATACAGGGTGAGGCATCTAAGACAGGCCACCCGAATAACTCCCACAGTTTTGGAGATAGGAGAAAATGTTTGAAACAAAAGTTGTATGGTATCGAGGGGGAAATCTTGTGGAAGTGAACATGTTTTTTTAGGTGAAGGCGCTTAGGAGATTTAAAGGTCATCTTCATTTTTTTTATAAAAAATGG